TGCCGGTGGAAATGGACAAGGAAGTGGAGATCATCAATTGGATGACCAATATGATGTGATTATCGACAAAGAGAGAGATAGTCTCATCATATGCGATCCTTCAAATAGAAGAGTGGTTCGATGGCCTCGTCGAAATGGGACAAGTGGAGAAACAATCATCTCCAACATCGATTGTTTGGGTTTGACAATGGACGAGAATGGATCTCTCTATATCACTGATGGTGGAAAAAATGAAGTGAGACGATATCGAAGAGGAGAATCTCAAGGAACAGTGGTTGCAGGTGGCAATGGATATGGAAATCGTCTCGATCAACTCTCTTACCCACGATACGTATTCGTCGATCGAGATCATTCAGTGTACGTATCTGATGAGGGAAATCATCGTGTGATGAAATGGATGGAAGGTGCAAAACAAGGCATTGTCGTGGCTGGTGGTCAAGGACAAGGAAATGATCTTACACAATTGTCATATCCTCTAGGAGTCGTTGTCGATCAATTGGGCACTGTCTATGTGGCTGATCGAGGGAATAATCGAATCATGCGTTGGCCTAAAGGAGCCACACAAGGAAGTGTCATTGTTGGTGGAAACGGTAAATGAGGACAATTGAACTAACTCAACCAATATCAATTCAAATGCGTAACGGATGTTGCGCTGACAGATGTTCATAAATGTGCCTTTTTTCGTGAGAACGATTCTTGGAATAAATGATCCTTTATGTCGGCAGTGGGGTACGAAAAACGAGAATACAGTGGATTCTACAGGCACCACCTATGTAGAGTCTCACGGCGTTTATGGAAATGTATACTGATTCTTGAAAAAAAATATCAGTTTTTCTTAGCATTCATGCTTCTAATGGTAAGGTATCTTGTTAATTTCGATCATTCTTGGATAGACATTAAATATTTTTGCTGTTCGAAATCGTTCACATTCTATATTCTGAGGTTATGTGCCGGTTATTGAAGAGTCTACACAAATGACTAACGAAAGCTACATAGTGTAAAATCTCTAAAAGACGATAATTCTTTTCCTATCCTGATTGATTGTGAGTTAATTCTGCTTTTTTTATTTCTTTATCTCGAACATAAACGTGTTTTTTTACAGACGTCCTGCTTTTTGTTTTTATTGCTGCTATTCACTCGTTATTAACCATTTTCGTTTGAATGAAATGGCGAATGTGATTGTTATTAATATCTATTATTTGATTTCGGTTGTTTAGGTCTCAAATGGAGAGGGTGAAAATTTTCGATTTAAAGCTTACACATATATGTTTTCTTCGAAAACGTATGTAAATGCCACAAGATCTTTCTAGAAATGCAATACTTTGTTTTTTTCTTTTTACTTCTATTCATTAGTCTTGATAATCTATCATTTGACACACGACTTTGTTTCGTTGGTAACATCCAACAAGCAATCTATTTATGCATATATGTACAGTATTGTTTATCTTGACTTGAAAATAGGACACTTTTAAACTTGGACTGATTAAGTTTCTGATCCATATTTCATTGTATACTATGTCTTCCGTTGTAATTGTATTAATAGCATTATTCTCACCATCTGATATCTCAGAATCACAACTATGATCTTGATTATCATCATCATAATTCTCATCTTCTTCAGTTGATGTTGTTTCATTGACATTGAAAGCATAATCGACGTCAAGATTGAAACAATCATTCATTTTATTTGTTTTTATAGATTTGATAATATTTGTACTTAAATCACGTACCTCAAATGCATGATATTGTTTCCACAATGTAGACATTTCTATAATTCTACTATGTTCTTGTACCTGTTTATACGTCTTCAAAATAGTTTTTTCTTGAAACGACAATAAATCATCTTTTTAATATCGCGAGTTTTTAAGTTCGCTCAAGAAAATCATCTATTGTAAAGTTTAATCTTGTTGAATAGCAACTATTAAGTGCACGCATGTTGACAAAGTTTGACTCATAAGCTTCTAAATAAAAAATAGAGAAATATTTAGTGCATGCTTCGGTAATAATTGCCGTTAAATCACTAGAATAAGATATAATAAGTTATATACATTTATTTCTACGAACTAATATGCCAGCTTAGTAGCAAAAATATTTATCTTTACTTCTCTTTGATGCTATTGTCCTTGCTTGCTTTATAAATGATTTAAATTCTATACATCTCAAGCAAAGTCTACAGACTGAGACAACCAACCACGAATAGTATAAATAATTATTGAGAGGTGTTGATTTGTCCATAGAAGCAACAATAATATATTTCATTGATTAAAGGTATAGATAAGCTGCTTATATATTAGAATTATCACATAACATTTTAGTACAACTCACATATATTTTCAAAGAAGATAGTGAGTATGAGTTTTAAGATGAAGGTTTTGCGGCTCCTTCTCGTTCCCATTACAGAAACTTAATAACTTCATCAAAAAAAGAACCTATTTCTATTCAAAGCATAGAAATAAAAAAGATAACATGTGTTGACAATCGATTATCATTAGAAAAAAATTATCGTCTTTGAGAGTATTTAAACATTATATATTTTGTCATTAGTATAATGAAACTAAAGAAGATGCATGAGTTCCATATTTCAGCCCCAAAGGAGCTGCACTAACAAGCTTTTTCATATGTCTTCAATTGTTATTTTTTTAACATGCTTGAAAATTTTGACGATCTTTTCGGGTTTAAATCGTTCATTGTTAACCCATGATCAACCTTCTATAATTTCTCGCCATCAAGAATATTAACTAAATGTTCTACAATGACTGCCTGTTGACCCATTATTATTTGTTCCGTTGTAGATAATATTCTGTTTCTGCATTTCGTGGTCACATGAATGAGCTGCATCTTGTATGAACAGCAGTAGTTGTCGATTCTGCAAAAAAAAACCATCCCTATTTTGTGAGTATTCTCTGAAGGAGTGCATCTGGATTGCCAAATAATCGATTGTCCGAAAAAAATCAGCAAATAATTCCAATACCAAACATATACTCTTTAAATATTTGCTGTCGAAATCTCGAATGAAAAGAGCGAAAAATATTTTGTTTTCAATAACAGAAAGTATGGTAAAAAATAAAAAAATGTAAAAATACTGGTTAAAAATCCTATCACTTGAATACCTTTCTTATTACATTCTTCATTAATATAAAAAACACCATCGAATAATGTCAATGCTTGATATACATATGAACAACATTGCATGCAGATAAAAGAAATGGAAACGATTGATTCAGATATTGCATTACGGAGTGAAACATATAAATATTTGATAATGATGCTTTTTCGATCGCATTGAACCAGCTTTTCAATTGCTCTAATGACTCTGTTTGGAAATGTTTTAGAGTTGGTATACTGTTAATCAATAGTGTTTAAAATCCAATAAAAGTGTCGCATCTTAATCATGTTTCATTTTTCAAATAACAACAATGCAGTCTTCAGAACCACAATCATATTTTTTATTCATTAAATTTAAATCTTGTTGTAATGAATTAAATCTAAAATCTTGTTCAATTAATTTTTCAGTGGTTTTGAATTAGGCAATGCATTTGATAAATTTGCTCTTCTGAAATGTAGAGTAATTTTAATCATCTAACACATAAAAAGGCATGGCCATTTGTTGAACAGAATCACTGTATGTATAAGTATTTCTAGATTTTGATAAATTACTCGTTATATTATCAATAAATTGTGGTAGACATGATTACTTTTAATAATTTCCTTTTGTCATGGTTCTTTTGATATCATGTCACTAATGATTTTAATAATGGATGCTTACTGATTAAAAAATATATAGTGTTTGTTGATTGACATTGTTACTGTTTTGTTTTTAATAAAGGACGGGTACTATTAAGGCATGTTTTCGGACCAAAAAACTAGGCAAGGAGACATACATATTCGGAATCAGCATAAAATTTTGAGTACTTTTTGTGTTTCAGAATGATAAAAATCGAAAAAAAAATTTTTCGGTCCCTGACCCCCTGGTGGGGTCTTTAGAGACCAAATGAAAAAAAAGTTTTTTCGAAATTTAATACAAAAACTATGTACTCTTATGCATTATGATGTGCTGATTATGAATATTTCAACCAGAGCACATAAAAACACTTCCTTGTCAAACTAGACCAAAAACAAAAATAGATCTAAATTCTCATTTTTTCGATTTTTGGTATTGCTGATTGGTCAAATAGAGTCTATACTGGTCTGAAATAGTCTGCCTTCATGTAATTCACTATGCTCTTTCCGAATCTGAAAGAATTAAATTAATCGGACTTAGCTTTAAAAGGTTAGAGCCGAATCACCTGCAGAATTTTTGGTTCCATTTTAAGTCATAACTTGCACACGACTGAAAGTGTACTTAGAAACCTGGAAACAAAAAGATTTTTTGACATCAGATAGATTAAGTAATGCTATTTCCAATGCTATGTTTGTTGGGTCGAAATTCGATGTCTAGAGTCTCACCAGAAGGTGTCATTAAAATGTCCTTTTTCTATAGTAAATATACTAAGACTTGCTCTTAAATTGATAGAAAATTTCATCATATCAAGTAAGTTTCTACCAAGTACAAACCAGCATTTGA